TTCCTGGTCAGGGCACATATCCAGGTTTCCGGTTTGATCCTCAGTCAGGGTGCATCCAATCAATGTTTCTCTCTCACATCAATGTCTCTCTCTCTCTCTTCCTCTCCTGTCCTCTCTCTAAAATTAATAAAAATTTATAAAAATAAATTCAATGTAAGTTCCTGGGTAAGATTTTGGACCAAAAAAGGAAAAGAGACATCATTGGGACAGTAGTGAAATTTTAATGGGGTCTGTGTTGTATCAAAGTTGATTTCCTGACTTTGAGGGCTATATTATGGTTATTAAAAAGAGTATCTTTGTTTTATGGACATACACACTGAATATTTAGGGATAATAGGGAATCAAGTCTATAGCCTTCTATCAGATAGTTCATAAAAAGACTCAACAACAACAAACCATATATATACAGAAGGGTGAAAGCAGATGTGGTCAAATTTTAACAACTGGGGAATCTGAATGAAGTAAATATGGGAATTCTTGCAACTTTTCTGTAATTTGGAATGACTTCAAAATAGATACACTATACATTCATATTTATAGATTTTTAAAAACCTGAAAATGTATGTTCACACAAAACCTTATACACAAATATTAATAGCAGCATTATTTATGATAGCTAAAGAGTAAAAACAATAAAAATATCCACCAACTGGAATAAACAAAATTTTATACATCCATACGATGAAATGCTATCTGACAATTAAAAAGGAAGTATTGATACATGCTACAACATGGATGAACCTTGAAAACACTGTGCTCAGTGAAAGCAACCAGTCACAAAAGATCACAAATTGTATGATTTCACTTACATAAACTGTCCAGAATAAGAAAATTCATACAGACAGAAAATAGATTAGTTGTTTCCAGGGGTTGAAGAGATGGAGGAAACGAGGAGTGACTGCTAATGAATATGGAGTTTCTTTTTGGCTGATGAAAATGTTCTAAAAGTGATTGTGGCAATAGTTGTACAACTCTGTAAATATATTCAGTGGTTTTAATATATTACAATTTAATGGGTGAATCTTATAGTATCTGAAATATATTTCAATAAAACTTTAAAATAAGAATAAATTTCACACACACAACATAGAGTAAAGCTATAATGTCTTCTAGGCCAGTGGCATACAGGCAGACAGACTAAGAGAGGAACTCTGAAAGTCTTATGCTAACCAAGAATAGCCATTACATGAGTAGTTCCACCAAGTGACAGGGCTTCCTGTCTGTCTATCTAGGTCTTGTCCATCACTGTAGGTCTCATTTCCCCTAGTAGTTACTATAAGAGGCAAAATAGAGTGAAGGTTAAAGATTTGGGTTTGCCCCCAGATTGCCTGGGTTTGAATGCAAATCAACTATAACCCATGTGAACTTGAGCAAATTACTTAACCTCTCCATGCTCGGTTATAAAATGGGGATAATTGACTGGGTTTTTGTGAGGAATAAATGTCATAATCCATGAAAAGTTCTCTAAAGAGTGTCTGTCACTTGTTGGAATGCATTAGAAGTTGATTATGTTTTTTAAAAAAGTCTTTTATCGGGATGCTTTTTCTTCCTTAGACAGCCCCAATTCATTTCATCCTCCCATTTATCTGTGGTCATTTCCCTATCACATGCCACCTCCAACTAATCAGATGCAAGGTGATATAATACTGGCCAACCGGTCCTATGATTCACAGATAGAGCCTACTCCGCAATCTCCAATAGTACTTTTTTGTGCTCCATTTCTCTCATTGTGAGAACTGTAGCACATCACTCAAACAATGTTTCCACAGGTCATGGTCATTGCTGTCTTTTCTTCACACTGTCACGATTGCCTCCAAACTCCATAAGTATCTTGGCTTCCTGCATACTGGTCAAGCAGATGAAAGTTTAATATTTCTTTATTTTTTCTAGAGAGAGAAGAAAGGAGAGAAAGAGAGAGATAGAAATATCTATGAGAGAGAACATTGACTGGCTATCTCCTGCATGCCCCCCACTGGGAATTGGGCCCACAACCTGGGCATGTGCCCTGACCAGGAATCGAACCAGTGACCTCTTGGTGCATGGGTTGACGCTCAACTGGTGAGCCACACCGGCTGGGCAAGCAGATGAGAGCTTAAAAAGACCAAATCACAAGAACTGATACTCAATTCATGTTAACGATGTGCCAGCCACTGTACATGACTGTTTCATTTCATCTTCATATCTGTGTCCTCAGGACACTGCCTGACATATTATAGAAGTTCAAAATGTTTGTCACATAGTGCTCAACTGTGCGATGGAACTGAATGTGAGAATGGAATTAAATGTGAGAATGAATCCTCTGCGTGCAGAGTCCTGCTTATAGTTGAAGAACAACTCAGAGGGTTTGAGAGTCAGAGAAATCTTAGTACAAATTCTGTTTCTGCCATTTGGTAGCTTTGTGACTTTGGACGACAGCACTTAACCTCTCTGAGTCTTGAATCTCTAATTTGGAAAATGCAAAAAGTAGGTAAAAATAATACCTATTCTGGCCCTGGCCGGTTTGGCTCAGCGGTTAGAGCGTCAGCCCGCGGTCCAGAGAGACCTGGGTTTGGTTCCCCCTAGGGGTATGTACCTCCGTTGCAGTTTATCCCTGGCCCCAGTTGAGGTTGTGTGGAGGTGGCCACTTGATGTGTCCCTTTCGCGTTGATGTTTCTCTCTTTCTTTCTCTTCCTCTCTCTCCCTCCCACTCTATCTGAACAAAAATGGAAGGGTGTCCTCGGGTGAGGATAAAAAAATAAAAATAAAAATAATCCCTATTCTGGCATCGTTATTCAGATGGAATGAAACAAAGTTGCAATGCTGAATATATAGTAGATACTCAAGAGATGATAATAATTATTATCGTCCCCTTATCCTTTCTTCCAATAGGCCTTTGTAAGAGGTCAACTATATATTAGTTCCCAATTTAAAATAAGTGAAGCAGTAATTGCAATTCAAAGTGGAGTAGTAGAAATGGCATTGAATTGGGGCTTGGGAAACCTGTCTTTTGGCTTGTGTTGTGCTCCCTCTACTAGCATCTGTGTAACCCTAGTCAAATCAGTGTAACTGTCTGGGACATTCCATACCCCAAATTTGAGAATCCATACCTCATATTAGAGTTGATTTCTGAAGTCTCTAGGATCCTCTTAATCTCTGTAAGACTGAGATTATGTAGAGAAAGTATTACCCTTGGTGTGATTATTTTTAAACAAAATATATAAAGTTATTTGAAAATATATTCATTATTAACTCATTTTATAGTTACACATTTTTCATTTATTTCAAACTTTGTGAAAGATACTTCCTTCAAAAACCATAGAAACTTGGTTAAAAGCTACAAGACTCAAACCTACCACCTAGTGGTAAGAAAGGAAGTTTCAATCTTTTATCTCATATTTGTCCTCTCCCGTCACCACTCAGGACAGTTTTACGTACACAAAAATTCAATACTTCATAACTTAATAGCTTGTTCATTTGACAGTACTCTTAAGTCACTAAAATATTGTGGACTTTTGAGAACTGTGCAAAAATCATTGGTTTTTAAGATTTGAAGCGCAGAAAGTGCTTTTCTATTCATCCATCTCAAACCACTTCTACCCAAGAGGCCCACTCAGTCCATTTTTATGGACAGACACGCCATTCCACAAGTGCCTGGTGCAGAGAACCAAGACCACTGGTCTTTAAAAAGACACAAATCAATACACCAATGGGATCTCTGATGCAAGTACTTACTTAAGGAATTTGTTTTACCTACTACAGTAATTAAAATTAAGTCTTCAAAGGTAAATTTACATATCTAAAAGCTGGAATGCACCGTCCTTAATCTTAAACCCCAAAGGTGAGGGCGAGCCAGCATTCCAGGGTACTGGGCCTATTGTTAAAGAGGGATCTATTTTCCGTTTTCTTTTTTTGGTTTTGTATCTTCCCCCTCCCTCCTGTCACTCCCCCCCACCTCCTTCTTTCCTTCTTTTTTCACTTTCAAGTAACAGTCAATTAAGATGAGCATTATGTTTGAATGGAACAGGTAGTGCCTTACCCAGAGTGACTGAACTATTCCAGGTTTCCACCTAAAACCCTCCTTGGAAAATATTTCTCTTCCAGTCTTTCCTTAAATACGTAATTAAGCCACTTCCAGTACTCTGGTCTAAGTATTGTAAATTAAGCCTTCTTTTCGAATGTCATTCTCACTTTAGCACGATTTTCTTAAACTCCCTTCCACGTAACACAGAAGTGGTTCTGGATCTGTCAACCTGAGAATTTCACCTATGATCCATCTTGCTAGTCGAAACCTCTTGGTTTTTTAATTTAAATTAAAACGCTTGACTTCAATTTTTACTGGATTTAAGAATGTTGTCTAAACCTTTCAATGACTTAATAAAATGTATCCTTTTACCTTTTAAAACGTTAGGGCTCACTGTGTCCACGGGCATCGGGCATTTATTCTTAATTTTGCTTCTGAAACAGGCTCGTGGGAGAAAGCAGTTTCGACCGAGTTCAGAGAACCAGTTACCACGAAACTTGCAACAGTTGGTGCCCGGCGATAGGCAGGTTGTAAGTGATGAATGGGACTGATTTAGGAAACAAAAAGCCTTGGGAAGGGAAAGGAAGGGGCAGCCGTGGCCTTGGGGGACAGTGCCGCGGCGGTGAGGGGTCGGAGGGGCTGAGCCCCGGCCGTGGGAAGGCGCCTTCCTGGGCGGCCGCGGGAGGCGGCGGCCACGGCCAAGGACCGCGGGAACCGCAGCCCGGCCAGCCGCGCGGCGCAGTGCGCCAGGCGGGTGCGCACCAGGTCGTCTCCTGGGCCACGGCGGGGCCACCGCGAGGTGAGACCGGCCCTGCCCCCGCGCCGCCCCCGGCGGGAGGTGCGACGCCCAGGCCGCGGGTGCGTGCGCGGCCCCGGGCGACGCGGCTGGGCGTGCGCGGGGCCGCGGCGGAGGCAGGGCCGGGCGGGCGGCAGAAGATGGCGAGGGTGTGTAGGCGGCAGCAATGCTCCGTTGAGAGACGCGGCTTTCGGCAAGAACTAGACTCGTGGCGCCACAAGCTCATTCACTGTGTAGGTGAGATCCTCCCCCGGCCGCCTCCGGTCCCTGGGCCGCCCCGCCGCCGGCCGCCCCGGACACGGGAGGGAGCCGGGGCAGAGGCAATTGCTGCTCCGGCCCGCCCGCCCTCTTTGGCTCGGGCGTCCCCCCTCCCCCACCCCCCGGAGTGCGGGCGCGCGCGACCTCCGGGCGGGTTCTCCTGGGCTCGGGCCTGAGCGCGCGCCGGCCCCTCCCCTCCGCGCACCCTCGCCGGGGCGGGCTCTCGGGCGGGAGAGCGTGTCTCTCCCTCCACCTCCCCTCCCCGCCCGGCGTCGCCGCCGGTTTATTGTGGAGGCTCGCCCCGCAGCGCTGCCACTTGACGGGGCCGCCGCCGCGGCTCCCGCAGAGCTCAGTGCGGGGTCGGGCGGGGGGGCGCGCTCGGCCGCTGCTCAGCCCCATCCTCCGCTCTCGTGGGCGCCTTCCCCATTCCGCGCCGCCCCTCCCCCACGCGCAGCAGCGGCGCGCGCCCCCGGTCCCACGTGCACGCGCGGCGGGCAGGCGGGCGCTCGGGCGTGTGCGAGGCGTGAGGCGGAGATGGGGGCGGAGGGAGCCGGAGCTGTCACAGGCCCGGGGTCCGCCTGACCGAGCCAAGTGGGGTGTCATGGCCGCGGGGGGCATTGGCTGCACTTCCTCAGCGGGCGGCGGCGGCGGCGGCGGCCGGGGAGTTAATCCTCGACGCTCGGGTCGGTGTGTGTGTGTATTTGTGTTTGGTGTGTGCGCGGCGGGGAGGAAGGGAGGTGGGACTGGGTCCGACCGAGAAGACAAGTCGCTCTTGTCCCTCCTGGGGGATTTGCCGGAGCCGCCGCCTCGCCGAGAGCCTCGTCCTCCCTCCGCCTCCCAGACCTCGGGCCGCCTCGGGTGTCATTTTTCCCGCGGGCAGGAGGGAGTGTGGACGGGGGCGCCCCGGGAGGGGCCGGGCGGCCGAGCTGCGCCTCTCACACTATGTGTTTTGTCTGTTTTTCTCTCCCAAGGTCCCGTTTCCCTCTGTGCGGCGGCCGGCGGGACCATAAGGGCTTAACTCATATATTTAACCCCCCTCCAAAAAGTAAGTGGCCCGTGTGGTGTCTCCGCTCCGCCCGCCGCCCCCTAGCCTCAGTCCATCCTTGTGTCTGGCTCTCCTGTCCCCCAGTATTGTCATTTCCCCATCTTTGCTCCGGTGCTGCTGATGTGTGGCGAAATACTCTCTCGTCGTCCTCCGTCGTCCCCCACGCCCAGTCCTCGGGGAGGCCCAGAATTGCAGCCCCCACCCCACCCGTGGGGAATACTCTTAGGAACCAGGTCTTCCCCAACAGAATCCGGGAGCAGAATCCGGGAGATTCTGTCCGTTCGCTTGGGCCCCTCATCCCCTCCTTCCCGACCGGGTTTCGTTAGAGGAATTATGCAAATCCTGCTTTCTGGTGTCCATTCAGCGGCAATTTCATGCGGTGAGAAGTTCTCTTTGTTGTGCGAGGGGGAGAACAGACACTGATTTAATAGACATATCTGTTGGGGGGAAGGGTGAGGGGGTGTTGGAGAGGCTCAATTTGGAAGAATTACTGCACTTGGTTGGCTCAATGTCTTTGTGTTTGAGCTTTCTGGCTTGACAGGAGGGTATGCCCTTTACAATGTCCCACAAGGGATGTTTTCTATAATAGATTATAAAGCAAAACTAAAACTTTAAACAAGTCAAAAATAACATAACCTTTACTTTAGGGGATGTAAGCCTTTCCATTTCTGCAGTGTTTCATTATGAGAATGTTTGTGAATTTTGTTAAAGATTTGGACTATAACATGAAAATATAAGCAGTGCTTAAAGGTATGTGATATCACTTTGGTTGTCCAAAGGTTGAAAGTACATTTTAAAACATACGCTTATGTAAATAATAAAGGCATGAATCAGGTTTTTGTTATAATTTGTCTTGTGGATATATTTTAAAATTTCCCTCCTGCCAACCCAAGCCCAGCTATGCCCTCCAGGAATCAGCCTTTGGTTGATCAGTTATCATTTACTCTACTCTGTCTCTGCTTGTTTTATTCTTTCAAACCTGTCATACATTTGCCGAAATGTTATGTCTGCTTAAGCACTTTTTGAATTATGTATTATTTGTAACCATCATATAAGAGAGCTTACTAAAGACATTTAGAAGGTTTTGAGAAGCATGAAATTAATGAGTTTCAGAATTGTGAGTTAACAAAATCCTGAAATTATTTTGAAGACTTTTTAGTTTTTTGTTTGCTTCACTTTTTAGTGATTTTTTTTTTTAAGTAGGACTTTTTGTTTTTAAAAAGATTTTGAAATTGATGGCTATCATTCTGTAGATGTCTTAAGTTACTGTTGCTTTACTTTAGATGGTTTTAGGGAGTTGTATCTTATTTTAATTCTGTTTGCTTTGAATCCTAGCCTTCTGCCTCAGGTCCCCTTTTTATCAGTCATTGCTAGTGTTAGTGGTTAGTTACTACTTCTTGACAAGGCTTTTAAAAAACGGACTAATAAATCCTTCTGTAAATATCTGAATTGATCAAATTTTAGATTCATTTTTTGAAGGAGGATATTACTCTGGTGATCAGTTTTCTTAAAGCATACTTTTAACTCCCAAATTTTCACTTTCGAGGTAGTAAAGTTCAGGAGATAATTAGAGTCCAGAGTGCAGAGCAGTCTTTTAATCTGAACAGTAATATATAATTGATAGTCTCCTAACTAAAATAATTTGCTACTCATATTTTCTCCTTTATTATGCAGGATGTGGCAAAAGTAGTTTTACAGTTATATGTGAAACAGCTTATTCTTGTATTTTTATTTATTAATTATTGTATTGCTTTTCATATAAACAACTGTAAACCTACTTTTTTGTTCCACTTTGTATGAAAATTTAAGAGAAAAGTTATAAGGAAATCAACTGTAGTATTTCTGTGTTTAAAAGGGCTGCCAATGATCCATACAGTCCAAAAGATAACTATGTATGTTGTTTGTCACTAGCAGATGTAATAATTTCTCTTTTATTTGAATGGAATTGGTTATGAACAGCTAACCTATTTGATTCTGTTGACTGATTATCTTTATACTTTGGGGTAATTTGGTTTCTATATTTAACTTATAACAGTTTTAGGATTAAAAATGAATTCTTGTTTCCAAAATCTAATTCTCCCTTCTACTTTTTTTGATGAGGAGGAAGTCAGGTATGGATTGTGAACGTGGAAGTGTTGGTGTTTCCATTAATTATTAAATTTTAGTTGAATTGGAGTTAGTAGCAGGTTCATACAGTGATTATAATTAAGATGACTATTTGGTCACCAGGTGATTATTGAGGCATCCTCTAGAATGAGGATAATCAGTTCAGATTCCAGGAAGATTGAGGTTCTTTAAGCTGTTTGGTGTGATGTAACTTATTGCATGACTACTCCTCATCCTTGCTTTATTCTTAAGAAGCTCTTCCCAGTGTAGGGAAAACTTATGATTTCAGCTTGGCTCTTGCTTGGCAGGATAGCAGGATGAATCCCTTTGACTTACACAGAGTTATTATTTCAAATTTGCCTAATTCCCTCAGATGTGCTTGTAGCTGGAGCAATTCTAGGCAGCATCTGAATGGTTCTTTTTTTTAAAACCTTATGGGATTACACAGGATGACCTGAAATTGTTTTAGGGAGTGAGAATTAGGTGTTCATACTCTATGGGGACTTGCCATTTCTGAGTACTTGCCTAATCACTTAGTTGTTTAGTAGTGCTATTTTTAGGAAGGAAAGACAGGTAAGTACATCAGTTAAATATTTAAGCATCTGCTTTGTACCAGGCACTACCGGAAAGCAAAGATATTAGGGAAGCTGCCCTAATCGTTAGGAAGTTTTTAGTCCTTAGAGAAAATATAGTGCATTCAGTTATAGTACAAGGCAAAATGTGTCTTACCATGGTACAGGCAAGTGCTAGGGGTGTTTAGAAATGAAAGATTTCTTAAGATGATGAAGGAACGCTTCATGAAGAATGTGGCAGGTTTTTGCTTCATTTTGATGAATATGGAGAAGGCATTCCTGTCATGAAAAACAAATGAACAGAAATAGAAAAGGGCAGTGATTTCTATTTAAACTGTAATTTATGATTCATCTAGGGACATATGGGGGATATGTTCGTAAAAGTAGGTTGAAGGATTTTCTAATGCAGGTTAAAAAATGGAGTCTCTTTGTTAGGCAACTTGCAGTATGCAATACATTTTGCTCCTTAGTTCAGGGAAGTAATGTTTCCTTTATTTAAGGATTCCATTGTGGAATTCTGCAACAATGACACAGATTGATTTTTAAAATCACTTTTACAGGCACAATATCATCCACAACAGTGTGTCTTCTAAGTAAGCTCATTTGGAGGTTATACCTATTCCATTGTATAAGACCTATTTTTGGAATTGCCTAAAACCAGTGACATTAATTCTTTGAATACCCTTAGTATTGATACATTTTAATCCTTAGAGGTTGGATTTGGTGTTTGGAAACAATCGAAAAATACTTTCTGTGGCAAATAAAGATATATATAAAATAATGAGATTGGTTTGTTTTTTTCTGCTTTGCAAACTGGTCTTGAAAGCCCAGCAAATGGGGCTTGATTTGTTTTGATGTGCCTCTGAACTTCTCCATTGAATCTTATTTTCTTTATATGTCTACTCATCTGCTGTATAGAGTCTGAATATTGGGTAGGTATGAATAAAGAAAGCTGTTACTTTTTGTAGTTTCAGGTTAAGAACTTACCATCACTACCCTCCAAATAATCTTGTACTCTATTTGCAAATATTTTTAAACTATTCATCATACTTTCCCATTGCGTTTGGGATAATTCCAGGGTGAACTATTAGCTTATTTTATTTATTGTCTCTTGTATATGGGAAGTATCCAGGTACAGTGGTCCATACCCTGAATTTTTAAAATGTTGAGCTATAATTTACAAACCATAAAATTCACCCTTTTAAAGTAATGAAGTAATTTTTAATTTATTCAAAGGTTGTGCAAACATCACTATCCTAATACCAGAATACTTTCATTACCTAAAAAAGAAACTCCACACCCATTAGCAGTCATTTCCCATTCCTCTTATGACCTAGCCCTTGGCAACCCCTATTCTTTCTGTTTCTGTGGATTTGCCTATTTTTGGTCATTTCATATAAATGTAATCATACAATATGTGGCCTTCTGTGTCTGGCTTCTTAGCTTGTGTTCAAGATTCATCCATGTTGTACCATGTATCAACACTTTATTGCTTTTGATGGCTAAATAATAATGTATTGTATGGACATGCTAGATTTTGTTTGTTCATTTATCAGTTGATAGATATTTGGGTGGTTTCTACTTTTTGTCTATCATGAATAATGCTGCTCTGAGCATTAGCAGCATTGTTTGTGTGGATATTTGTTTTTACTTCTCTTGGGTATGTGCCTACAAGTGGAATTGTTGGATCATAGAATAACTATGTTTTAACTTTTTGAGGAACTGCTAAACTTGTCCAAAGTGGTTGCAATATTATACATTTCTGTTTTTTACATTCCCACCAGCAGTGTGATTCAGTTTCTCCACACACTTGCTAACACTTGTTATTGTCTTTAAAAAAAAAATTTTTTTTTTTTATCCTCACTCGAGGACATTTTTCCATTTTTTGTTCAGATGGAGTGGGCGGGAGAGGGAGAGAGAAACATCGACATGAAAGGGACACATCGAGTGATTGCTACCCACACGACCCAACCAGGGCCGGGGACAAACTGCAACCGAGGTACGTGCCCTTAGTGGGAACCGAACCCGGGTCTCTCTAGACCGAAGGCCCATACTCTAACTGCTGAGCCAAACCGGCCAGAGCTAAATAGTAGCTGTCCAAGTGGATGCTATCTCATTATGATTTTGATTTGCATTTTCCTAATGACAGGTGATGTTGAGCATCTTTTCATATGTTTGTTGACCATTTGTATATTTTGGGAGAACTGTCTATTCAGATCCCTAGCTCATTTTAATTTTTTTTTTTTTTTTGAGAGAGAGAGAGAGAGACGGAGGGAGGGAGGGAGAGAGAGAAACCTTGATATGAGAGAGAAACATGGATCA